TGAACCCGGGAGGCGGAGCTTACAGTGAGCCGAGATGTGCCACTGCACTCCAGCCTGGGCAACAGGGTGAGACTCCATCTCAAAAAAACAAAAAAGAAAAGTTTTGAGAAAGAAAGAATATTAGCTATTTCAAATGTTAAAATGTACTACAGAATTCTAGTGATTAATGTTTTAAAAACACTGGGTGATCAATTTTAGGACCTGAGTCTGTGTAATGTCTTTTATTGTGCATTTCCTATGTGATTTCTCTACACCTCACTTTTCTCATCTATAAAATAGGAAAAATTATCAGTATTATCTGCAGATTTAAGGGTTAAATGAGTGTGTGTGTGTGTATGTATGTATGTAAAGTGCTTAGTATGGGATCTAGCTATAGTAAGTACGCAACAAATTATAACTTTCATTTATCTCTTTTAACAACCTTAGTTTTAGGTGATATTGAAGCTCATAGTGGTTAACTTTTCCAAAAGGTAGCAGGGTAGGATTTAAACTTATAACCATATGATACCAAAGCCCGTACTCCAAACCACTATAAATACACATGCCATTTTATACTATTAGCGCAGTTTATATTTCTACTGACCTTAATAATTGATTGATGATACTGATTTTCCTATATTAATAAGGTTAATCCACTAAAATTAATTATATTGAGCACAGTAGTGCCATTTGTAGAGAAGCAGAAAATCATAGTGTTTACAAAGGGAGGCTCTTCCACTCCTAGTTACATAACCAACAGAAGTGAAAAAAATATGTCCTCACAAAAAGCTGTATATGAATGTCCATAGTAGCGTTATTCCTAATAGCCCAAAATGAAAACAACCTAAATGTCTGTCAACTGATGAGTGGAAAAGCACAATGTGACATATCCATATGAGGGAATGTTATTCAGCAATCAGAAGCAATAAAGTGTTAGTAAATGCTACAACATGGTTGAACCTTCAAAACATTATGCCAAGTGGTGAAAGAAGCCAGATACAAGGCCACAGTATGGTACTGTTTATATAAAATGTCCAGAACAGGCAAATTCAGAGATAGAAATCATGTTAGACCATCAGGGGCTGGGAAGAAGGGCAATAGGGAGTGGCTGCTAATGGGTACAGAGTTTTGGGGGTTTGATGAAAGTGTTCTGGAATCAGATAGTGGTGATTGTTGCACACTGTGAGTATACCAAAAACCACTGAATTGTACACTTTAAAGCAGCTAATTTCATAGTACATGAATTATATCTCAATTTAAAAAGGAAGAGGGGAGGCTTTTGGTGTTTGAACCTCAGCTTTCAGATTTGCTACTTGTTATATGACCTGTACAAGTAACTTAACTTTTTCCTTGCCTCAGATTTTCTTACTTGTAAAAAAAGGTTTAATTGTAGTATACTCTTCAGAGGATTGTTGTAAAAAATCATACATAAATGCCTGTAGTAATAGGGTCTTGCAAACAACAGGCGCTCAGTAACTGTTAGCCATTGTTATTAATATATCCAATTTCAACATGGCCAAACCTGGGCAATTCTGATTTACCTTTATAATAATCTTGTGTGATATGTTCAGTATTTGGTATATGGAATCAGAGTATACCTCCAATCTAACTTTTGATTTATAAGTGAAATAGGAATAGAATGTTTGTTTGAAATATTAACGATTCACACTTTTTTACATGAGTATCAACTTATGAATGCTAAGCTAAACACCTTTATGTTTTGCTTTTAAATGTATACTTAAAAGGCTGAGGTGGACGGATTGCTTGAGGCCAGGAGTTCGAAACCAGCCTGGGCATCATGGCAAAACTCCGTCTCTACAAAACATGCGAAAATTAGCCAGGCATGGTGGTGCATGCCTGTAGTCCCAGCTACCCAGGAGGCTGAGGTGGGAGGATCGATTGAGCCCGGGAGGTTGAGGCTGCAGTAAGTCATGATTGTAGCATGGCTGGGTGACAGAGCAAGACCCTGTCTCAAAAAAAAAAAAAGTATACTTAAAGTGCTTCTTAATTACTAGTGATAATGGCTTTCTATATTGAATAGGTTTCATGGTATGGTCTAGTTGAAATGTGAGAAAATAGACTTGAAAGTCAGTTTCTTATAACTAGGGTGCTTTGTGATTCATTATTAAACTGCAGCCAGTTTTGTTGATTACTTCCCTGTCAGTTTAAAGTATGTTTTTAATTGATACAGATTCAGCGTTTGTTGGAAGCACAGTCTCTGACGCCCTGTTCCCCTAAGACAACCACCGTTGAAGACACAGTGCAAGCTGGAAGACAAATGGAGTTGGTTTCCATGGAAGCACAGTCTTCCCCTGGCTTGCACATGAGAAAAAGTGTAAGCATTGCTGTGAGCACAGGTGATTTCAGTTTTTTTTAATTTGTAAGGAAATTTTAAAAAATGCTTTTCATATCCGGTTTTTGAATTTTATGTTCAAATTGGTGCACAGTGCAATAGGACCAAAACCAAGGTGATGAGAGTATGACTTAAGTTTTTGTGTAATTTTAGTTTCTGTGAAATAAAACTACACCTGCAAACATGCAAACATGATGTATTGTTTGGTTTTGCTACTTTTCTAGATTGGACCGAATTCTTTTTTTTTTTTTTTTTTTTTTTTTTGAGACAGAGTCTCCCTCTGTTCCCCAAGTGAGAGTGCAGTGTGGTGCACTCTCAGCTCACTGCAACCTCCACATCCTAGGTTCAAGCAGTCCTCCTGTCTCAGCCTCCCAAAGTGTTGGGATTACAGGCGTGAGCCACTGTGTCCAACCAGTCTTGGTTGTATTAATTTATTTTCATAAAATCACCCAAGTATATCCTCAGTGTAGAAACCATTTTGACTAGGATTTTTTTTTTATTTTATTTTATTTTTTTTTTGAGACGGAGTCTTACTCCGTCACACAGGCTGGAGTGCGATAGCATAGTCTTGGCTCACTGCAGCCTCCGCCTCCTGGGTTCAAGTGATTCTCCTGAGTAGCTGGGACTACAGTCGCGTGCCACCACACCCAGCTAATTTTTGTATTTTTAGTAGAGATGGGGTTTCACTTTGTTGGCCAGGCTGGTCTCCAATTCCTGACCTCGTGATCCGCCCGCCTCAGCCTCCCAAAGTGCTGGGATTATAGGCGTGAGCCACTGCGCCCAGGCTACTTTTTGGTTTTAACCATGTATTTAAACCCTTATGTATTAGCAATATTCCTCAAATTATAGAATGCCTATGGCTCGTGGTACAAAAGATGATTTAGGGTGTTGTACACATTAATATTTATATTTTGTAAATACATCTTTTCCAATACTTATAGGTATAAATACAATAAGCATATCAAATCTGTGATTTTACAGAAATAATGAGGCTCAGTAAAAAAAAACGAGTTAATTTAAAGAAAGAGAGTAAGTAAACAATATTACGTGCAAGTAGCTCTGAAGATAGGTGTAAGTTCATAAAGATTGAGAAATAGGCTGGGCAAAGTGGCTCACGCCTATAATGTCTGCACTTTGGGAGGTCAAGGCAGGTGGACTGCTTGATGCCAGGAGTTTGAGACCAGCCTGGTCAACATGATGAAGCCCCATCTTTAAAAAAAATACAAAAATTAGCCACATATGGTGGTGCACACCTGTAGTCCCAGCTACTCAGGAAGCTGAGGTGGGAGGATCACCTGAGCCCAGGGACGTTGAGGCTGCAGTGAGCCATGATTGTGTCACTGTACTCCAGCCTGTGCAACAAAATGACACTCTGTCTCAAAAGAAAAACAAAGATTGGGAAATATTTGATTTTTTTTTAAATACCTGCCTGATATTATAGATATTAAACATGTCTGATGCATCACTAATATAGTCTCTTAAATATTGCATTTAAGTATCAAAATCAGAGAACCTAGGGATTTGTATTTTATATATTATCTCATATTATTCAGAGCAGCAGTTTTCAACATACACACCCCACCCCACAGATCATATTCAGAACCTTAATATGTAAAACAAATCATTTCAGAGCCACCCTCCTTGAAAAAGCAGAACCCAGAATGTGCCCTTCCATCCCACCCATCCCCCAGTTTTTTGTCTTTCTGTCTTCCACCTACCTCTTCCTGGCATTTCTGAAGAAATATAATCTAAAAACTTAGTTCTAAGTAATTGTGTGTGTATGTGTGTGTGTGTATATATATATACATTTTTTTTTGAAGCAAAGTCTCACTGTGTTGCCCAGGCTGGAATGCAGTAGCACATTCACAGCTCATTGCAGCGTCGACCTCCTAGGCTCAAGTGATCTTCCACCTCTGCCTCCAAGTAGATGGGACTATAGGCACACCACCACACCTGGCTAATTTTTTTGTATTTTTTTTTTGTAGAGACAGGATTTCTCCATGTTGCCCAGGCTGGTCTCGAACTCCTGAGCTCAAGTGATCCTCCCGCCTCTGCCTCTCAAAGTGTTGAAATTGCAGGCATGAGCCATTGCACCTGGCCAATATGGCTATTCTTAACAAAGGTTTGGCAGAGTATTATTTTTAAAGTTGAATGTTTGTTTCAGTATCTTAAATTATTTAACCTCCAGGTGCTAGCTTGTTTTGGAATGCAGCTGGTGAGGATCAAGAGCCTGACTCTCAACTGAAGCAAGATGATACCAAAATTTCCAGTGAGGACATGAATTTTTCTGTTGATATTAATAATGAAGTCACAAGTCTTCCAGGTAGTGCATCTTCATTAAAAGCAGTTGATATTCCCAGTTTTGAAGAGAGCAACATTGCTGTGGAAGAAGAATTTAACCAGCCACTTTCTGTATCCAAGTAAGGTCTCTTTGATTTAGTCTTTCATCCTACTTTGAAAAAAAAATTTTAATAGACAAATAATAATTGTATATATTTGTGGGGCACAATGTTTAGATGCATGTTTACAGTGTGGAATGATTAAATCAGACCAACAAATCTGTCACTTCACATACTTAACTGTTTCTGTGGTAAAAACATTTAAAATCTACTATTAGCAATTTTGAAATATACAATGCATTATTATTCATTACAGTTGCCGTTCTGTTCAGGTTTTTTTTTGTTTTTAATTCTAATTTCTTTGAAGTCTTCTAACTCAGAAATGATTTATTTTCTAACTGATGTTTTCATTTATGTCTTTACTTGATATGATTTCTATGTAACTGTCAACTGTGAGCCTTCTAGAACCATTTCCAGATGTCAATCATTGGGTATATTAACAGTCTGGATCAATCAGAAATCGGAAGAAAACTTCAAAAATACACAAAATTGGACTCCAGCCTGGGTGACAGCGAGACTCCGTCTCAAAAAAAAAAAAAAAAAAAAATACACAAGCTCAGGCCTCACCCTAGAGTTTCTGATAATATTAGGTTCCAGATAGAGATGGAGAAATTTTTTTTTTTTTTTTGATGGAGGCTCTCTCTGTCGCCCAGGCTGGAGTGAAGTGGCGCGATCTTGGCTCACTGCAAGCTCCGCCTCCCGGGTTCACACCATTCTCCTGCCTCAGCCTCCCGAGTAGCTGGGA